ATTAAGATTTAAAATATCAATTAATATATATTTATTTTATAAAGTTACATTAAAAATGTTTCATATTGTAAACCGCATACATATAAAATAAACACATTGTGAAAGAAATATATTTGTTCATTAATACGTTAGATGAGAAAAAAAAATCATATGAAACAATACCTAAAGATAATAACTAGGGCTGTAATTGAACCGAACGAACACGAACGGAGGCTTGTTCGTGTTCGTTCATTTAACTTAACCGAACAAACGCGAACGGTAAACGAACGAAAATCTGTGTGTTCGTGTTCGTTCGTTTGCAAATCAGGTGTGTTCGTGTTCGTTTATGTTCGTTCGTTAACATGCTAAACGAACGAAAACGTACGAACATAAACGAACTGGCTAAACAAACATAAACAAATAGGCTAAACAAACATAAATAAATTTTACTTGAATTCAAAGTAAATAAACAAAAGATTATATATTAAATTTAGTATACAAAAGAGCATAAACGAACGAATATAAATAAACATAAACGAGCGGTAAATGAACAAACGTTCACGAACATAAATGAAGGAACGAGACTCTTGTTCATGTTCGTTCGTTTAACTAAAAGAACATAAAAATTTGTTCATGTCCATTCATTTATTAAATAAACGAACATAAATGATCAACTTCCCGTCGAACGGTTAACGAACAGTTCACTGAACGTTTGGTTCGTTTACAGCCCTAGTAATAATTCCTACGGTTATCATAATATATAGAGTTCTCAAATAATTAAGTCTAAGAATTTAAATAAAATTTTATAATATAATATAACCTATATCCATACTATCTTATAAATCATTTGACTAGAACTTTTAAAAACTCTTAAAACTCTTAAAACTCTTAAACCCGTTCATCCCTATTCGATTTCATCCCATATCTGAATTCGTGTAACTAATTGCAGATAAACACAATCAAATACAGGATAAACATTTCATTTTAAATATAAAAAATCTAAAATATAATTAGTATGATCATTAAATTCTAACAGAATACTTAATTATTATCTTTATAAAATTTATAATATTAAACCAAAAATAAATTGTTTTATTATTAAAATTAAATTACATATAAAAAATATATATATTCTATATTATAAATTATTTGACAAAAACTCTTAAAAACCACTTTTTATGCGTAAAGTACTGTTTATTAATGCATGTTACTTAAAACTCAAAATTACAAGTAAATTGTGCGTAGGTACAACTTATTAAAGCTCCATATCTGAATTCGTGTAACTAACTGCAGATAAACACAATCAAGTATAGGATAAACATCT